CAACAAGTAAGCAAGCAATCACGCAATAGCCGAAGCAACATAAAATAAACAGCCAAAGCATGCAATCCTAGATCTATATGCAAGCGCTAAACTATATGCAAAGGTGCTACTACTTTCGCACGAAACAGCGTTCTCAAAACGCGCACACACTACCACACTCCACACGTCACACTCGCGTGGACACAGAGATCTCTAAGTGGGTCGGCCAGTTCCCCTCCACGAACACCCTACACTTGACTATCTCCAAGACAAGCTAAGCCGGAACATCGGTACCACGAACACCCTGCACTTGGCTATCACAAAGAAAAGCCAAGTCGGAGCATCGGTCACTCTGGGAGCTCCTCGGTCGGTTCACATCTCGGTGGAGTTTCCATCCGAGAGCCGCTAAGTGAGTTCACATTCCAGGCAGGACAACCATAACTCCTTGCTGGTTTCCCGACTATCCTGTCGGATAGTACTCGGCCAGGCTAGCAAGGCCCGTCTATCTCCGAGTCTTCCCATCTAGCAGTCCGTCGCTAAACATGGGCAGCGGAGAACTCCGACCACACCGTCACTAAGTCATGAAGGATATACCACCAACATGACTCTGCAGTATAATGGATCGCACACCATTATACTTCACACCGCGTTGATCCATACTTGATCAAACGCCAACACACCTCCACACAACCTCCGAGAAGTTAGCGCCCTGGAGTGACGGCAAAGCCAGAACTTCTCTAGTCCCAACTCTCGTTTACGGTTACAAGCCTCACGCTTGAACCTCGCTCATGCACGTTCATTATAACGCCGCTTACATGACCTTCCAGCCATGCAATGGGTTTTACCATAAACCGCACACTCGCTCAGCCGGTGAAGGAACATGCAAGTGGATCTGAGATCCGGCAGTCCTTACACCCTTCTCATCACTCGGAAAGGATGATAACATGTCCCACAAACATGCATCAAGCTGTTACCTTACCCAACGGGTTTCGCAGCACTCAGATCTAACAGATCCGAGGCTGAACCTGCACTAAAACGTTAGTATACACTCGGATCTACACGGATCCGAGCTTTCCTGCATCACACGTTAGTCACACACATACACACAAGCACACAACCTATTTTACCGAGGCTAGTGTTGTGCTGCAATGCAGATCCAAGATCTACACTGCACCATGAACAATAACCGCGATAGTCCACCACTACCAGGACTCACCAGATCTGACAAAATCTTCCACAAACTCCTCAGATCTAGGAACTCACGACCACACAACACTCAGATCTAAGAACTAACACTCTGCTGACTCACTCTAAACACAGATCCAACCACTCTCTCACAAAACCGAACTAACTCTCTCTTCTTTTTTCTCACGGATTCACTCTCTTTTCTTCTCTCTTTCTTTCTCTCTCACACACTCACTAGCACGCCTAAGGTATCAACTATTGGGGTTAGCTGAGGGTTAAGGGTCTTTATATAGATTTTCTCCACCAATGAGGTGTTAACACCTTACCTTCTCTCCTCCAACCAATCAGAAAACGCCAGAACTCCAACTAATCATTTTTATCTCTTCCCCACCAATGAGAAATAAGCATATGATTAATATGACTCATTCTTGCCTCCTTAATCCCGAAGTAGTGAATTATATTCGTCTCCGTCCCGCGTTCACTCTGTTCGGCTCTATTCTGGATCTCGAGTGCGTCTGTCGATTTCCTTCGGGATTTGACGGTTTCTTTTGGTAGATAGACTCCTCTTATGCTTAGAAAAAGTTCCCAAATTCTCGAGTTGATAGGTCTATGACCGAGTTGGTTTTTCTTCTGCTTAACCCATTTCGAGGCTTGGACGCATATATCGGACTGCTCGATTTTTAGAGAACTCGGTAGAATTTTTCTTGGATAAACTCTTCTTCCACGGCCTTTAGTAGGGTCTTGGCTACCTCCATGCAAAATCCCATAATTTTTAAAATTGTACCGAGGGGTTTCCATGACTGAAAGCTCTGCATGGGTCATTTAGCTCTTTGACAGGATTATTACACCGTCGATCTCAACCTCACGGAGCTTGCCCTGACCCCGGTCATGTAGAGACTGAAGGATGTATGCTCGTCGTCCTCCAGAAGGAACATCAACCGAGATAAGATTTTTCCTTCTCTTGTATCTCTTACTTTACTCCCATGAAGAGATAGTTCATTCCTCACTCTCATCATGGTCCACCTGTTACGCTTCCATCCTCATTAAACATCAGACGGATATCCAGATCCTTGGACGAGGTATCCAAAACATAAACACTTTCATCATATCTATCCTTATGAGTTCTTGTTCCTGTAGGGTGTGAATAGACTTGAGCGTCGGAGAACCTTCGGGAGGGAAATTTCCTTCCGATTCTCCTGCCTGACTTACTCGTTTGCCAGTGTACGCAAGACCCAGTCAAGTCAGTTTTTCGTTCCAAAGCCCCATACCACTCATCCCCAAAAAACAAAACTCGAAAACTCAGTTCCGTTACCTAGACAATCACACACTCCCACAAGCATTATATTATTTGCTCTCGAAAAGTTCTAAAAAAATCGTGATTTATAATCATAATTTTCTAAATGAAAAGTGAGAATTTAATTCCTTAATTTTTGTAAATGTGCAAATTAATTTTTAAAGTTTTAAGTTGGTAAATTAATTCTTAAAGTTTCTATTAACTTTATAAAATTAGACTGAAAAAGTCAATTTTAATGTTTTCATTTTTTAGTTAATATTAACTTTTCATATATAAATTTATGAAATCAATATTAAGTTAAAGATTTAATCTATATACATAATAATTGAGATATAAATTTGCTGAATGCGACTTTGATGTAATATTTTGTGATTTTTAATTAATAATTTTCTTAATTCTATATTTGCCCATAAGATACGTCCTCATGTCTTAGTCTCGGATACCCCTGTAAACTTTTGGTACCTGCTTGAATATAACTAATTATTTTGTTTCTATATTAGTCAATAAATTTAAAGTTAAATAGCTACAAAACAAAGATAAATAATATAATTATAAATAGGCCCGTTTCAGCCCAAAAAAACACTTCTTATGTTTTAGTTTAAATAATGTTAAGCAAAAAAAAGAAATTATTTCATTTTTAATGATTTTTTATAGTTTCAGTGTAAACATTATTTTTGTATAGATAACACTTTCAATGTAAATAGTTTCATCTGAAAAGACCTATCTTAAAATTTTCATTTTAAATTTGTGGTAAACCTGTTTTGTAATTTTTTTTTTTTTTTTGACTTGGTCCATCTTACCACTTGGATTCTCTGTATCACCATCGCTTCCATTACTATGACATCGCTTGTTGGATGAATATTCAACGGTGGATCATGCACAACCACTACAAGAGTCTATTTTTATATAGAGTTTCCAAACTATATTAATTTAGATCCATCCAACAACTTTACGGCAGACGTTGCAATCAGACGCACAGTGATCAAACGAACAAACTTGCGACAGATGCTGCGACCAGACGTGCCATGACAAAACGAACAACATGCGTCTAAACGCTGCGACTAGACGCAATGCCACAGTCGCAGTCGCTGGCGTCAAACAAACGAACAGGGCCTTAATTACCGCGACCAAGATGTGTAGTTGCAATGGGACAGCGAGAGACGAGAGTAATGGAGATTCTTGAGAAACCATTTGGATTTTGTGGTGTTAATTTTAGAGAAAAGAGGGAAAAAGAAATGATGGTTATTTAATTACTCAATATTGTTTTCTTTTGGATAAAAATATTAAGTTTTTATATCATTTTTAATCGAGATAGAAATTAGTGCACAATTACAAACGGAAGGGAAAAAAAAAATCGACAAGCTGGGTACACACTAATTCCAGAATTACATTTGGAATTTGTACTTTCAAACTTAAGAACTCGAGTTCTAATCGGTGTTTCGTCTTCAAAAAATCAAAGGTACTCAATATTTGCTAAAATACATACAAACCGAAAGAAGAAAAAATGAATCACTGTAAAATAAATTTGGGTCAGTGATTTGGAAAAAGTGAAGATTGGAATACAAAAAGACTGATGTTTAACAAAAAAGAGTAATACAGTACATATGTATTACTAATCGTGTACCAAATCTTTGTTATGTATAGTGTAAATTTTCAAAGTGAAAATCTGGATACTTTTGGGAAGTTTTAAAATACTAGTGTGTCTATAAAGTAAAACTAAATAATACTAATAATTTTGAAAACGCCCTTTATAATTTGACAATAATTCAAAGAGCTTCTATTATTTCTTTGGGTTAAAACTTAAAAGTTAACAAGAAATTTTATCTAAGCATTTTATATCTGAATTCTATCTCTTCTTCTATCTCATTTACTGTAAAGTAAACCCTTTCATATTGCAAATTATATATTTTATTATTGTTTTCCAAAAAAAAACATCACAAAATATTATATTTCCATAAGAGTACTAAAATTATCTTAAAAAAGGTTTTTATTTTATTTTTCAAAATGCTACTAATTGATTTATGCATATAAGTTTGTTCTATTTTATATTTTATAAGTGAAGATATATTTGTAAAACAAAAATAAAAATTTGCATTTTTGAATATGTCCCTGAACCATTCACTCCACATGGAGAAACCCCCACTCCCGCACATCAGAAGGTGAGAGAGATTGATAAACAAGTAAGGAACAGGTTGACTACGATTCGAAGGCTTGGACACACACGTTACGAGAAGGGGCTGGAGTTATGGCTTTCTTTTCATTGATTAAGGGCTAAGCAATTAAGCTAATCATCCTCATCCATTTCAATTTTTAACCAACAGCTACAACACTTGTAAAAACGTGTTTTTGGTTTGAATACATTTATTCAAAAAAAAAAAAGAATATGTCTTCGAGAAGTTTCTTTTACTTTTTCCTAAAATTTCCAGGATCTTTCCTCTTTGAAACCAGATATTATTATTTTTTTCAAAATTTTACGTCACTTTCTTTCTTGTTGAGGTGTGTTAATGTGTATATTTATCCAATAAAAAAAGGGAAATCATAGAGTGACATAAAGTTCCTCAATCTTTGGATGAAGATGATGAACCCTACAAAAATTAATCATACCTTTATGGGTTACTTTGTCCTGTTCGTTTGGGGTTTTGTGTTGATGGAGGTTGGTTTAGGACAAAACCCAAAAAGTGAAATCAAAGTGGGAGTAGTTCTTGATCTCAAAACAAACTTTTCCAAGATCTGCCTCACTTTCATTAACATGTCGTTGTCTGATTTCTACGAAAAGCATGCTGATTACAACACAAGACTTGCGATTCACGTTCGAGATTCCGCTGGAGATGTTGTTCAGGCTTCAGCTGCAGGTTCGATTCTTTTCTTTTTTACTTTGCTTATCTGGCTCATGTAACGGATTATATGAATTTATAGTTGTAATAAATAGAATTTAAAGATAAGAACGGAGTCTCATTGTAGATGTTGTTTGTAACAAAGACTTAAGAATTCAAAGATCAAAGATTAATAAGAATGACTCTCTTATTAGCTTAAGGAAAATCACTTAAAACCTTAAACTCTAAATCTCTCTTAAAGCAAATGCCATATCTCGACATTGCTTATATAGCCAATAGGCAAATCCTATTTCCATTAGAGAATGCATTAGACAACTCCTAAGAACACCTCTAATCCTAAACACTTTAGGTATCCTAATCTTGATATGATTTCAAGCTTAGTTCAATATTCTCCCTTCTAAGCTTGAGATCGATTTCCTTCAAGTCTTGAATGCCGATAAGGTCCCTCATTTCCCTGAATTTAATCTTTCCTAGTGCCTTAGTTAGTATATCCGCCTTCTGCTGATTTCCAGGAATATGTTCGACCTCGATTTGACCATCTTCGACACATTCTCGTATAAAGTGGTATCGAGTGTGAATGTGCTTACTTCTGCTATGAAAGACCGGGTTCTTTGTAAGTGCGATAGCAGATTTGTTATCTATGCAAATGACAACTCTTTCAGACGGAACGCCAGTGACTTCACTAAGCAAGTCTTGAAGCCAGATTGCTTGTCTCACAGCTTCTGTACCTGCCATAAACTCAGCTTCGCAGGATGATAATGCTACAGTGTCCTGTTTCTGTGAGCACCAAGTAATCGGACTACTACCGAGATAGAAGATATGTCCTGTCGTACTCTTTCCATCGTCCGGATCGACATTATGGCTACTATCGCTATAGCCTATCAGCTTAGGGATCCTAGAGTTTGATCGCACGCAAGCTAATCCAAGAGTAGTAGTACCTTGTAGATACCGTAAACATTGCTTCATAGCAGCTCCATGCGATTCCCTTGGACTCTGCATGTAACGACTCAAAACTCCAACACAGTAGGACAAATCAGGTCTTGTATGAAGCAGGTAACGTAGGCATCCAATTTTTCTTCTGAAACTAGTAGCATCTATCTCTTTCTCATCCTCTGATTTCGATAGTTTCAGACCCGAATCCATTGGTATATGCACCGGATTGCATCCCTTCATACCCGCTCCTTCCAGAATCTTTTGAGCGTACCTCTTCTGGCTTAGAACTATTCCACCATCATGTTGACACACCTCGACCCCGAGATAGTATGTTAGCCTACCGAGATCACTCATTCCCAGCGGCTGTACTTGGTGTGATCGGGCCACACAAATCTCCATGTATAAGTTAAAGATTTTTAGTCGCTCTATAAGAGGAAGCTTGCGGGAATACTTGCCGTGATTGTTTTTCAAGTAAACATGAACCACAGATTTCTTTCTCGATCATAATGCGAGGTACTCCTCGAACCAGCTCCTTCTGGACCATTGATCGCATTGTTTCAATATTAATATGTCCCAACCTAGCGTGCCATTTACTCGACTCGCTTGTTGCATCAATGTGTAGACATGTGGTATCCCGTAGTCCCATGTGTACTTTGTAAAGTATGTTTTTAGCTCTTTCTGCCTTAACAAGCAGTTTTCCTTCTGAATCATGCATCGTCAAGACTCCTCCTCTCATTCTTATGTCGCAACCTGACTCAGTAGCTTGTCCCAGACTGATAATGTTGCTTTTTAAATCGGGAATGTAGTAGACGTCATACATTTTCCGTGCCTTTCCATTCATGTCAATGAAGGAAATTGAGCCTTTGCCCTTGATGTCTATCCGCAAGTCGTCTCCAAACCTTACTTTCCCAGTAATAGACTCGTCGATTTTATTAAAATATCTCCTATCTCCTATCATGTGGTTGCTAGCTCCGTTATCGAGGTACCATACGTTTGATTCCTTGGCAGTTTTCTCATACTTGCTTGGTATAACTTTTTTCTCGTTCAGAAATACCACTTCATGTATCATAAGTTTATCCGTGTCTTGTGTATCATTGCCCTCGTCTTCCGGTGTTTCCTGCAGTTTCAGTAACCTATCAGGACATACTGATGCATAATGTCCCATCTTGTCGCATCAAAAACACATAATCTTGGACATGTCTCTTCCACCATTCGAGCGTCCGCGACCACGTCCCCTGTTTCTTCCTCCTCGACCTCTGCCTCTGTTCTCTCCGTTGTACTCTCGGCTTGCTTGATTGCTCTGTGTTTCCTCATTCAGGTACATCAGCTTGCTTTGATCCTCTTGAGCATCTTCTTCTTCATAGATTCATTCTTCGTATGCTTTTAATCTCCCAATAATGTCTATGAAGCTGGTGGTATTGAGATCCAATACTTGTTCATGAGAAGCAACAATATGTATATATTTCTTTCGCGGTAAACTCTTGAGGAATTTCTTGACAAGCTTTGACTCTTCAATGCTTACTCCTAGGGCTGCCGATTTTGAGGAGATCTCCGATAACTTTCCTGCAAAGTCAACGATTTTCTCTGTATCCTTCATCTTGAGTCGGTCAAACTCGGCCATTAACGTCTGTAATCTAGCTTCCTTCACTCGCTCAGCACCTACATGTCTTGCTTTTATGGATTCCCAAACCTTCTTCGCTGTGTCGAGCTCTCCGACTTATAGGATGAGTGTCTCAGGTATTGATTGGAATAGCAGAGCTATAGCCATGTTGTTTCTGTCGCCGTCGGGTGGATCTGTTTCTGCTTCAATAACTTCCCAAACTTTATGGACTTTGAGCATTACTTTCATTCTCATAGCCCATACTGTGTAGTTGGTTGTGTTTAGCATCGGGCATATGATTGAAGACGGTCCCCCTCCTCCTTCTTTGGGTCTTGATGCTGCTGCGTTTGCTGCAACAATATCTCCCATGGTTCGCTTCTCAGATTCTCAAAGTTCTGAAGCTCTGATACCAATTGTTGTTTGTAACAAAGACTTAAAAACTCAAAGATCAAAGATTAATAAGAATAACTCTCTTATTAGCTTAAGGAAAATCACTCAAAACCTTAAACTCTAAATCTCTCTTAAAGCTAATGCCACATCTCGACATTGTTTATATAGCCAATAGGCAAATCCTATTTCCATTAGAGAATGCATTAGACAACTCCTAAGAACATCTCTAATCCTAAACACTTTAGGTATCATAATCTTGATATGATTTCAAGCTTAGTTCAACAACAGATGGTCTCAGAGTTTACAGCCAGACATGAAATCAACTTGGAATGATTTTTCATTGAACTAATCTTTTACATCAAATCTTCTCAACCGTTTCTGACTTCACTCGAGCAACAATAAGTATATCAACAAACAAAACGTTCCTGTTACGAAATTCACTTGGATATGAAATTCAATCCTAGAATTATACAATATTTACTTTTCAAGGTTCCAGTGTAATTTAGTTCAAAAAAAAAGGTTTCAGTGTAATTCAAACTCCAATTTTGTCTACTGGGCGGGTGCTAATTGCTAACCGGCAGCAGATATTAAAGAAAATTCGTTGGAGATAGTTTTTCTTATACGCACACACATGCACTCGCACTTGGCACTCATGCTTGATCTTCAATCGTATGAAATAAGATAAGATATATATGAATCTGCTTCGTTAGAGGAGAGATAAAACATTCTGTTGACTATTCAGAATCCAAGTATTCTCTTATGTGGTTTGTATTTAGAGGAAACTGTTGATAGACAATGAACTAATTGATGGTTTTTTAAAAAGTAATTTTTATTAGCCAAAAAGAATAGGTTAGAAATCTTTGACAGAATCTTTGTGTCAAAGATGACAAAGATTTCTAACATATTCTTTTTGAAATAATATTTTTTTATAATAATCATATCATTTTATAATCCATTTCGAACTGGATTCTATTTAAAATCGACTATATTCTATTTGCCTATTTGGTCACCTTATTTCAATCAAACTTGAACTTTAAGTTTTTAATACAACATTAATTTTTTTTCAGGAGTTTCTAACTCAAAACTATTTAACACTAAATAGTTTGATTTATGAATAAAATAATATCCATTTAATAAATATTGTCTCAGTAATTACTCAATCAACTCGTAGTTTTAAAAGTGTACATAACTACATACACATTTAGTGACAAATTTGTCTGTTGCTTGTGGTGCAAGCAGCCTTGGACCTAATCAAGAACGAGAAAGTGAGCGCGATCATCGGACCAAGAACCTCTACGCAAGCCGAGTTTATGATCAAACTGGCTAACAAATCTCAAGTGCCGACCATCACATTCTCCGCAACAAGCCCTCTTCTCACATCCATTCACAGCACTTACTTTGTTCGAGCCACAGTCAACGACTTATCCCAGGTCAAAGCCATTGCGGCCATTGTCAAATCATTCCGGTGGAGAAGCGTCGTCGCAATTTATGTGGACAACGAATTCGGAGAAGGAATTATGCCTTATTTATCTGACGCTTTACAAGACGTGCACGCCCTTGTAGTCTATAGAAGTGTGATCTCTATGGAGGCTAACGATGATCAGATTGAAATAGAGCTGTTTAAGCTCATGACAATGCAGACAAGGGTGTTCGTTGCCCACATGCATCCAAGTCTTGGTTTTCGGGTTATTCAGAAAGCTAGAGAGATCGGGATGATGGATGAAGGGTATGTATGGTTATTTACAGATGGAATGATGAATTGGATTCAATCTAATGAACCTGGTAGCAACTTGGAGAATTTGCAAGGGGTGTTAGGTGTGAGGAGCCATGTCCCCAAGTCGAAAGAGCTTAAAGATTTTGGTTTGAGATGGAAGAGAAAGTTCGAGAAGGACGTTGCAAAACCTAACGTTTTTGCGTTATGGGCGTATGATTCGATCACTGCATTAGCCATGGCCGTGGAGAAAAGAAGCATAGAGAGCTTGTGGTATGATAACGCTAAAGGTTCATCAAATAACAAGACAGATTTGGGGAACCTTGGGGTCTCTCACTACGGTCCAAGTCTTCTAAAGGCTCTCTCGGATGTAAGATTCAAGGGTTTAGCCGGAGAGTTTAAACTCATTGACAGGCAGCTCGAGTCATCAACTTTTGAGATCATCAATATTATTGAAAATGAGGAGAAGGTTGTCGGATTCTGGAACAAAACGACCTCGTTTTCAGGGGAGAGGTTCAGGCCTGTAATATGGCCCGGGAAGCCGAGAGTTACTCCAAAAGGATGGGAGATTCCAACGAAAGGGAAGAAGCTTAGGGTGGGCGTTCCTGTAAAGAGAGGCTTCTTAAATTTTGTGGACATAAAGACAGATCTCCCGACCGGTTATTGTATAGACGTCTTCGAAGCAGCTCTTACAAAGTTACCTTACTCAGTCATTCCTCAATACTTTCGGTTCGAATCTCCAGATGAGAATTATGACGATGTGGTACAAAATGTCTATAACGGGGTTAGTTCTCTCTTTCTACTTTAAAATGATGGAAACGCGAAGGTTCATGTTAGATGTTTCTATTAATAGAATGATGCTCATACAATAGATTAGGTATGGGGACGTGCCTTTAGTCAAGTGGTCAAATGGCCCACCTATGCGGGTTTCTCCACCTATGGTCAAATATATTGTTGGACGTTAAATATTAGATGATATATTCTAGGGTTCTTATGTAATTTCTAACATATTATTTTTAAATGAGGCAGACGTGGGATGCAGCAGCAGGAGATATAACTATCAGAGCAAATAGGTCTTTATTAGTTGATTTCACAGTACCCTACACAGAGTCTGGAGTGTTTATGTTGGTGCCGTTGAGAGACAATGAGAGCAAGAACACATGGGTGTTCCTCAAACCTTGGAGCTTAGACTTATGGGTCACCACTGCTTGTTTTTTCGTATTCATAGGGTTTATTGTGTGGATTTTAGAACACAGAGTCAACACCGACTTTCGTGGACCGCCTCACCACCAGATCGGCACAAGTTTCTGGTTCTCCTTCTCCACTATGAACTTTGCCCACCGTAAGTTACTTACTACTAATCAAGAATTCGGTAATGATAAATATTAAAGTTTATAGATAGGCCCGGCCATATCTTGACCAGCTTGTGTCAAATGATGGCTCTGTTTATAAACTTACATTATATTTGTATTGAGTGGAGAGGTTGTGTAACTAATATACTAAATTAGATCTATACGAAAAAAGATTATAAGGCCATTTCCATCGGCATCTTTTAGAAGAGTATCTAATGAATAAAAAGTTAGAAAAAAAAATAAAACAGAAGAAAAAGAATAAGAAACGTCTCTGTATAAGAAATTTTTAGAAACGTTTCAGAAACATATTTTAACAGCTGTAAGCTAAATATTGGTTTCTTCCTTTTTTTTACCTCCTTCTTTTTATAACTTATGATATAAATTAATTATATTAATTTTATAATACATTAGATACCTGAGAGAATATTAGAGCATGTCCATCGGCATATATAGAAGGGTTGTAAGAAGGGGTTTTAGTTAAAAATGATTAAAAGAAATCATTTAAGTTAATTTTTGGTTAGAGATGTCGTTTATTCAAAGCATGTCAGAAATGCTTAGAAACCCATACGTGTCATTTTCTTATTGCAGATATTTATAAAAAAAAATTAATAAAAATAAAGAGAAAATCGAGGGATTCGGGTGAAATCTTAAATCTACGATTCTCTCTTCTCCGATGGCCAATTCTCTCTTCTCCGATGGCCACATTCTCTCTTCTCTGATCCAAGATTCGGGTGAAATCTCAAAATCCAAATAAAGAAACAGCAGAATCCCCACTCTGATCATCATCATCTCACGTCGTTCTCCTTCTTCAAGCCATTGGAAATCAAGGACGCCATTGATTCTGTCGTCGATCCTCGTTAAGCATTGTCAACACAAACCAGATCGCAAAGGTATAGTTACCTCACACTCTTCTCATCCCAGAGATTATAAACAGATTTAGTCTTTGATTTCTCTTTTTCAGTTGGAATTCGCGTATTTAGATAGTTTTGCATGATCGATCTATACGTTTGCGTCGTCTGATCCTGTGTTGCTTTATGATTGTAGAATTCACGAAAGTGGCGGTACGCAAATCAATATCGCAGTCTGAGTCCGAGTCAGTGACGTCCAAAGGCCTTCTCCTGCTGGAGTATCGCTGTGAAAGATGGGACAGCATTGGAGAAAGAATGGAGAAGTGAAATTCATATCCCTCGTGGAGGGCCTCACAAGTTATTTTCAGGATTCTGTTGCTGCTAATTAATCCTACACCATCCTCAAATTTTATCTGAGGTTTGAACTGTTCTTGTGACTGTAGAGCATGCGTAGTAGTGGATGACAGGCTTTTCGTAATTGGTGGTCAAGAAGGTGATTTCATGGCTAAACCAGGATCTCCCATTTTCAAATGCTCACGCCGTATGGAGGTAGGTAATCCAAAGGACTACATGTTTAAAAGTGAATATCATGCTCCTTTTGCATTGGTTCTGATTTTATGAACGTCGTGTGTGTCCTTTCTGTCCAACCTTGGTGGTTTTCAGGTGGTATTCAGTGATGTATACATGCTGGATGAGGAAATGAAGTGGAAAGTTATGCCGTCAATGCCAAAACCCGATTCCCATATTGAGCTTGCTTGGAAAGTGGTTAACAACTCCATTGTAATCGTCGGAGGCACCACAGAGAAGCATCCTGAAACCAAGAAGATGGTTCTCGTTGGCGAAATCTTCCAGTTTAACCTCAATACAATGGTAAACAAGCTCAAAACGTCATTAACCTGTTAGTAAAGTGTAAATCAAGTAGCTGAGTTTCTGTTTTCTCTGCAGAAATGGTATGTGATTGGAAAGTTGCCATACCGTGTGAAGACAACGCTGGTTGGGTTTTGGTTGATAGTTATACTTCACCTAGGGGCAACGAGACGAAGGTCCAGATGATCCAGCGCCGCGTAAGGTAGTTGCAGAGATGTGGAGAACCAAACTTATACTGAATCCGTGACCATGTGAGAAGAGAGAAACAATCATTCTAATGCAAAGTCGCATCATTCTTTTTTTTAATGCTTCGTATTCTTTTGAGTCTTACTCACTCATCCCACTACACAAACAATTAGTATATCTTATCTTATGTGTTGATGAGGGATTTGTATACCTATAAACTAAAAAGCAAGAGTTTAAAATAATTTTAATTTAATTTTTTTTTAAAAACTCAACTAGAGATTCAACCAATGGAAGAGCAAAAAGTTTAAATCAAATACAAAGGTTCTTAGAAAAAAAAAGGAACAAAATTTATATTAAAAAATGTTTAACAACTCCAAAAGGGTCTCTACCAATGGACATGCTCATTACACCAATGGAGATGGTATAAAAGCATCTTCATTAAAGTATTTTAATGGGTATATTAATATTAAAATAATACAAAAGTAGTAAAAAAAAGTAAGGAACACTTTTAGATTAAAAAAAAGAGTAGTTTTAGATGATATTTTTTGAAAATCCTATAAAACACTCATAAAACTTTTTTCTTTATGAATGGTTCACAATTTCTTCTAAAAACACTAAATTTAATTATGTATATTAATATTATATTGCTTAAAAACTCTTTTAGGATTATATTTTATAAACTGATGGAGGTGCAGTAAGTGTATAATGAATGATATAGTACAACTTGTGTGTGGTGTGTATATATAGGTGAGAAGGTGGTGAGCAATTTAGCGAGGTTTGTGGTGGTTGTGTGGTGCTTCGTGGTACTTGTGCTGACTCAGAGCTACACAGCGAATCTCACCTCTTTCCTTACAGTACAACGGCTACAACCAGAGGTCACAAGTATGCAAGATCTCATAAACAACAGAGATTGCGTAGGGTACCAAAACGGATCTTTCGTGTTTAAACTTTTGAAAAATAAAGGATTTCAAGAATCTCAACTTAAGGCTTTTGGTTCTGCCGAAGAATGTCATGATCTTTTGTCCAAAGGGACATCCAAAGGCGGTATTGCAGCAGCTTTCGACGAAGTGGCTTACCTTAAAGTTATCCTTTCTCAGTTTTGCTCCAAATACGCCATGGTTGAACCTTCCTTTAAGTCTGCTGGTTTCAGTTTTGTAAGTTCTTTATATTTTCCTTCACTTTACTTTTACAAAAATTGCAAAATACAGTAGCCTATTTTTTTTTTTTTTTTTTTTTTTTTTGTATTTTGATTCCATGATCGGTGTGTAGGTATTCCCCAAGAATTCACCTTTGACAAGTGATATCTCAAGGGCGATCTTGGATGTGATCGAAGACGATAAAATGTTGCAATATATCGAACGCAAATGGTTAAGAAACCACATTGTTTGTTCTGATCCCAACACCTCTCTTTCACATAACCGTCTTAGCCTCAGTAGCTTTTGGGGTCTATTTCTAATAGGAGCTCTTGCTTCATTCTTGGCACTTCTCGTCTTCGTGGCCCTTTTCTTATACGAACATAGACACACACTATATGAGGACTCGGAAATTTCCTTGTGGAGGAAGCTAACGTGTTTGGTTAGAATCTTTGATGAAAAAGACAGAAAATCCCACATGTTCAAGGAGAGTGCCGTTCATCATGTGAGTTCACCAATTCAACGCAGTCCAGGATCTTCCACAATGCAGATCACACCATGGTCACGAAGTCCGTCACAAAACATGGAGTTTGAGCCAAGAAGAGTGTCCCTCGTTCCGCGAGAATATTATTTTACTCCACAACTAGTACTAGAACAAGATGATGAGGAGGCTGATACCAGACGCGGAGCATGATGATAGAGAAAATATGTTGAAGCAAGAGCTTCAAGAAGAAAGTTTAAACTAAAGATTCAACATATCTAGAACTAGTCGTACACGAAATCGAGAAGAGACAATGGTACCTTTCAAAATCAGTTGAAGAGGCCATAGATATATATTGTGATTGGAACTAGCTAGTCTTTAATTTGTTTTTAGTATTATGATACTACTTTTTACACATATCTATAAAATCATATATATATATATATATACAATTTGATCAAAATTAATAATTTTTTCATAAATAACATTATAAAATATTTTTATTATCCTATGTATGATATATTATAAGATAGCTATGAAAATGAAGAATATTTATGATTAGGTAGTAATCGTTTTTTTTTTTTGTAGGATCATATTCTATACTGAATGAGAAATTTAAAAGTTATTTTATTAAAAGAAATTCCTTCAAATGCGCATAGTCTAAGTTTTTGTTCCATATATACATTAACATTCAAAAAAATTCCTTCTATAATATTTTGTATCATATTAATCTTAGTTAGACAAAACATTAGTTAATAAAAAGAAAAAAAAAATAATGTACAAACAAATGTATTAATGACAAAGATTGATCTGAAATCGAATCATTTGTTTTGTTTAGGATCACGCTTCTCATTTGATTGTGATTTGTGATTGTGAATCTCATAGATTTTTTGAGTTTTTTTTTATGGGAAAGTGATTTCGGAATTGGGTTTAAAGCTTAAAATCATATAATGATAGATAGATTTAATATAACTGGGTGAAAAACTCAAGAAACTCGAGCTAAAACAATAACAATGGTGAAAAAAAAAAGAAATCGGCGGAAATTAGGATTTGGATGTCGCAGAGGTGAGGAAGGAGATGAGCGTAAATTTAGGAATATATTCTTAAGTTTTAGGAAGACTTTCATAAAATATATAAATTGAGGAAGTCATTATATATATTTAGGAATGCCTTCGTAAATCATATAATTGATTATTATTTTTATTAATTTATACAACTCAAATTCAAGAAGTCTTTCCACAATTCAGGAAACTTTCCACAATTCAGGAAGTCTTTTCATAATTCAGGAATTTTTTAAAAAATTAGAAAAGCTATCCTAAACCATATGAAACGATGTTGAATTCTAATATTTGGAAGACCTTCCTAAAAAAATCACAAAACATTAATATAAAAAAAATATTTAGGAAGACTTTCTTAAAAGATAAAATGTCAAAACTCAAAGGAAAAATGTTAGGGGTGGAAAAATTTTAGCTTCCCTATTATATTTTTCCTAAAAACTTATTTTCAGAGTAATTATGAAAATTGCCCTTTTATTAAATATAATTTTAAAATTATTCAAAATTAAGTAATTTAATTAGTTTTCATAATCTAATGAATTACAATAAAATTTGTGTTAATATTGTAATTTTAGACAGTATATTCTAACCACGAAAGCTGTCAAAAATTGATCAATCTAACGGATTTTGAGTATCTGACAACACTTCCTCTCTACACACTTCGAGCTCAACCACGATAGTTATCATCCTCTTCTGCTGCATCCTCCGACAATGACTCACCGCTTCTCAACAGCTGAAAAAGGCAAGTGGGTTCCCTCCGCCACCCCACAAGACCGAAGAACCCTTATCCAGATCTTGGAAAGCGACAACTCAAACCTGATAGAGGAGAACCGCTTCACCCTAATAGGTAGGGTAGTGAACCCGCTAACACAAAAGCCCCACTGGATGGTGGAATGGCTCACGCAGTTCTGGAACCTCGACTCATCAGTGGTGGGAAGATCTCTAGGTCCAGATCTATTCAGCTTCAAATTTGAATCTGAAGAAGCCCTCACAAACGTCTTCCGAAAATCCCCTTACCACTACAAGAGGTGGATGCTCATCCTCCAAAGATGGAAACCGGTAATCTCCAACGAATTCCCCTCATCTATCCAGTTCTGGGTCCGGATCCACGGGATCCCACTTCACTACTGGCAGGACTCCACCTTCCTATCCATTGGTAAAGCCATAGGTAAGGTAGTCGACAAAGATATCCCGGAAGGGAGGCTGAGTATCGAATTAAATGGACTCAAACCTTTGGAAATGAAGCTTCCCATAAGCATCCCTTCGGGAGAAATCATTTGGGTCACCCTAGAGTACGAAAGACTGGAGAAACACGGCTTCTATTGCTACTCCCTCACGCATGAGGAAAAGGAATGTCCAAAGAAAACAGGGAACACATCTGGAGCCCCCATCTCAAGGGGACTAAACCAACAGAATACAGTCTCCGCCCTGGAGGAAGCAAGAAGGAAGAACCTTAACCGTAAAGGAAAACTCAATCCTAGAGGATCAACCACGACCCAGAGTGGAGAAGTCACCAGTTTCCACCGTAGAGCAGCCCTCTCTCCGGAAAGAATCCACCCGCTACACTCTAACAGTAGAGCCTCCCCCACAAGAAGATCCCGAGGTCTTGACTCTCGACTACATTACCCATCTCATTGGGATTCTCACAGGAACACCAGTAGAGAATACAATCGCCCGGATGACAGAATCCCTTCCCGCGACAGACTCTCCTCTCAGTCTAGAGCAATCTCACCACCACGGTACAAGATAAGACCCCTGCCATAAAGCGACTCTCTCTCAAAAGCAGGGAGTAAATCCACTCATGCCTCCAAAGACAACACCCCGAGATTTGCGACGGATGTCCAAGGAAACTTACACAGACCCACCCCACAGCCCTCCCAAAAGTCCCAGACTTCCCATATGCCCTCCCCAATGCCAATGAGGGAACCGATGACAATACCGCCAGCTGCGAAAAGAGAGGAAATAATTAGTCCTGTCTCTCAACGGGGTTCAGTCTTGGATAGAATATCCCCACAAAGTCAAAGAGGATCTCAAGAAAAGCAAGGAGGATCGAGCTTACTCTCGGGAAGACTGCAAGAGGTAGAGATCCAATATGATGAAAATATCCAAGAACAAACAGCGGATATCTTCTCCTCTGGTGAGCGTCTCCACCCCTCTCTCCGCCTCGGAAGACCATCGACATCAAAACGCAAACCTGCCAAGTATTCCACAAGAAAGACTGCCTCAACATCAAAAGCAACAACGAAGAGGAAAACAACAGGAGGAAAAGGGAGAATTTCTCAAAGCCTTTTGCAAGGAGTAACTACTAGGAAACGTCTAGCAACCAGGAAGACTATGGTCACAAAAAAGCGTCTAAACCAAGCAGAGACATGTTTACTATAGTTTGTACCTC